CCCGCGGTGGGCGGTCGGGCGGGCCTCTCTACTCGAAGGTGACCACGTTTAGATTCTGAGACAGGAAGTGGAGGGTGAATAGGTCACGGCGGCCTTTTCTTAAGTTTAACTTTTCCTTTTTTTTTGCTGTCTACTCATCCTCTCCGGTCTTCTGCTTCTTTGTATCCACATCGTCGTCCTCGTCATCCTCAGCTGCCCGCTTGCCCGGAGCTGCCTCAGCCTCCTTGTCTTCATCTCCATCCTCCTCTTCCTTCTCCTCCCCGCCTTCTTCCTCTTCTTCGTCTACCTCGTTCTCAGCCTCCTGTTCCCCGTTTTCCTCATTAGCGTTCCTGTCAGCCGGGGCATCTCTTCCGTTCTCTGCCTCCTCCACAACTTCCTTCTTCTTCAAGTCCTTGGTGGTGATCTCGGAGCTAGTGTCTACGGCCGTGTCTGACGTGGTGGGGTACGCTGGTGATCGCTGCAACGGACTAAAAAGAAAGTGAGAGTTCGGGGACCCTGGCTATAAAGCTGCCGGAGTCAGCGGCTGCGGCGTGCTGAAGCCAGACCGGGAAACAATGCAAAGATGGCTTTTCCGAGCATTCAGGCAGGACCAAAAGATGGCGTAATGGTTATGTTACTGGGCTCCCCCATAGTTGACCACAGTTCGAGTACCTGACCTGGTGACTTAAAACTTAGGCCAGGCACATGTGTGTATGTGCCCAAGATCCTGAAAAGAGAATGGAGGAGAAGGGATTTCAGTGTGGCCATCCCCCTCCCACCCCGGGGGGGTTTTTTTTTCGATTTCTCATTTTCTGTCTCTCTGTCTCTTTCTTTCTGTCTCTCTGGTGAGCACACATGTCCTATAGCAAAAATCTCTCTAAAATAAAATAATTGATTCAGGTAAGAATCATCAATGAATATTAAAAACTATAGAGCAAGGGGCCAGCAGGTGGCATGGTGGTTAAGGTGCTGGACTCCCACATGGTGGACTGCAGTTTGAGACCCAGACCTGGTGGCCTGCTTTCTCACTTTCCCACTCTCTCTGGTCAAAACTTAAAAATAATAATAATGATGATGATGAATAAAATTAAATAAAGTAATTCTTTAAAAAAAACTATTGGGTGAGACTTTGATAAAGAACAGGACATTTATGTGCTCAAAGTATCTCAAATTCATATTTTTTACAAAGGTAAAAATGGTAAGGTCAGGGGCCAGTAGGTGGTGTGTGGTTAAGGCAGCTGGACCCCACATGGCCAATTTCAAGGTTCAATTCCTGAACCCAGCAGCTTGAAAACTATGGCAGGGAAAAAAAAAAAAAAAAAAAAAAAAAAAGGGGCGGGGTGTGGGGGTGCCCACAACATCCTGAGAGGAACATAGAAGAGAAGGGATTGTGGCATGGTGATACCATCAGAGGGTGATTTCTTACTTTCTCTCTCTCTCTCTGTCTCTCTCTGGTGAGTGAATGCATCCTATAGCAAAAACTTAAAAAAAAAAAAAAGTAACTTTACAGTGGAGAAACCTGGCAGTCTATACTTTAAACAAATGGTCAAAATTAATATCATCAACACTAACTCCATGGTCTAGCAGTTAAGGGACCTCGATTCCATATAGCCAGCCACACGGTCCAACTCCTGACCCTGGCAACTCGAAAAACATGTCAGGAGAGCAGCCAGATGGTACAGTGGTTAAGGCAGCTGGATCCCACGTGGCTGACTGCACCTTTCAAGTGCTAGACCTATCAACTTGAGAAAGACACTGTGCATGTGTGCGTGCATGCCCAAAAATCCCGAGAGGAGAATGGAGAAGAGACTGCAGCATGGTCATTACCACGGGTGGGGAGGGTCGTGCTTTCTCATTTTCCCTCTCTCTCTCTCTGTCTCTCTCTCTCTCTCCAGTGAGTTCATGGGACCTATAGCAAAATATAAATTTAAAAAGAAAGAAAAACACGTCCGGTGCATTAGTGTGCGTTCTCCAAATTCCAACAGGACTGACAAATGGAGAAGGGATTGTGGTGTGACTGCACTCACCTGGGGAATGCTTTCTCCCTCTCCCTCTCTCTGTTTCTGTCTTGCTCTGGTGATAGCACACACCCTCTGGCAAAAATTTGTTTTTATAACTCACCATTCACTAAATACCAGGCAAATGGACATTATGTTCTTCCTGTTGCAAAGAACTGAGAACACAATACTTCTCCGTATTCCTAAAAAAAGCATAACCTGAATCTAATTATGACAAAACATCAGATGAACCCAAACCAAGGGACATTCTACAGGATAACTGGCCCAGGCTAGCCCTGTAGCCTAGCAGTTAAGGGAGTCAGACCCTACATGGCCTGTTATGCTGTTTGAGTTCAGGATCTGTGGCTTAAGGAACAGGCCCAGCACATGTGTATGCATGCCCAAAATCCCAAGAGAAAGGATTGTAGTGTGTTCATTCCCCTGGGGGGGGGTGCTTTCTCACTTTCTCTCTTCTCCTCTGTCTCTTTCTGGTGACAGCTCACACACCCTATGGCGAGTAAAAAAAAAAAAAAGAATAAAATAAATGTGGCAACATGTTAAATTTTTATGAATCTGGCTAAAGAGTATATGGAAGTTTTTGTGCTATCCCTGCAATTTTTCTTTAAATTTGAAATTATTTCAAAGTAATAGGTTTAAAAAGGTTTGATTTTAACAAGGGAAAACTATTCTGAATGTTCCCTAAAGTTTTATTATAACAAGACTATCAAGAGGGGGTCAAACTTTGAAACTAAAGTTTTTAGCAGAGGAGAAAATAGAATGTTTTGTTGTCATTGCCAGAGGGCAAGTATGCTTGCCAGAAAGAAAGAAGAAAAAATTCCCCAATTGGACATGGTCATGCCACAATCCCTTTTCCTCCATTTCTCCATCCCATCAGGATCTTGAGCACACACACGCACACACACACACACACACACACACACACACACACACATACATCCACCATGTTTTCAAGCCACTGGGGCTGAGATTCAAAATGCATCAGCCATGTGGGATCCTGCTCCTGATGCACTGCAATCAACCACCCCATAACAGGGCCATCCCATGAAGTCATTCTATTTTATTTATTATTTTTAGAGGTTGGTTTTTGTTTGTTTGTTTGTTTGTTTTTTTGCGTTAGGACATGTATGCTCGCTGGAAAGAGAGACAGAGACAGTGTAAGGGAAAGTGAAAAATCACCCCCCAGAAGGGATGGCCATGATGCAATCCCTTCTCCATTCTCCTCTCAGGATCTTGGGCATGAACACACATGCTCCCAGCATGATTTTCAAGCCACTGGGTTCAGGACTGGAACTGTGGTTGGCCATATGGAAGTTCAACAATATAATCACTATGCCATCTGCTAGCCCCAAGTCATTTCACTTTAGACAAAGCAATACTGGATTGGGGAAAGAAAAGTCTTTTCAACAAATGTTGTTGGAATAACTCTATATCAATATGGGAAAAATAAACATTGACCCCCCAATCCCATACCATACCCCAAACTAATTGAAAATGGATCATAGAACTATACATATAATATAAATCCTAAGATTATAGAGCTTCTAGGAAAAAATACAGAAAAGAATCTTTGAGACTTGAGAATAAACAAAGGTTTCTTTGCACATAGACAGCTGTAGTCATAAAAGAAAAAATGATAAATTATACTTTACTGAATTTAAAAACCTGTTCATCAAAAAGCACCATTAAGGGGGCCAGACAGTGACACAGCTGTAAAATGTGATGTTCTGCAAGGTTAACCCACATGGGCATGTTCTAGGTTAATGTTTGGAACCTGTGTATGGCAGGCACAAGCATGCCCATAATGAGGGGCTACGTGACGCTGGGGGTGGATCGTGGCATTAAGATCGTGTTGGGGGTGCTGTCACTCTATCGCTCCCATCCCGTCTCTCTCTCTCTCATTCATGGATAAAATAAATGAATAAACTTAAAAAAAATAGGGGGGCCAGTGGGTGGCATGGTGGTTAAAGGCACTGGATTCCCACATGGCCGACCACAGTTCAAGTCCTGGACCTGGCAGCTTGCTTTCTACCTTCTCCTTTCTCTTTCTCTCTGTCTCTCTCTGGTCAAATTTAAAAATGGGGTACCTTCTCATTTTCTCTCTCTCTCTCTTTCTCTCTCTGTCTGTATCTGGTAAGCACATGTGCCCTATAGCAAGACTGGGAGAAAACATTTGCAAAACATATATATGACAATGAATTTATAACCAGAATATATAAAGGCCTCTTATAAATTAAGAATTTAAAAATCCAATTTAAAAATGAATTTAAATGGACAAAAGATTTGAATAGACATTACACAAAGACAGATATGCATGGTCAATAAGCACATGAGAAAGTGCTTGACATCATTAGTCTTTGGGAAAATTCTTATTAAAACTACATTGACGTCCTTTAGATAGAAATTACAAATTGTTCTTTTATTGCCTATGTTGAGATTATCTTTATTCATTTATAAGATTGTTGCCTGACTTACTCATTTATTTATTTTTAGAGATTTTTGCTATAGGGTGTATGTGCTTCCCAGAGAGACAAAGACAGACAGAAAGCAAGAAATCACCCCTCAGGGAGGGATGGCCATGCAGCAATCCCTTTTCTTCCATTCTCCTCTTGCAATCTTGGGTACACACACACACACACACACCACGTACCCAGTTGAGTTTTAAGCCACCAGGTCCAGGACTCAAACCACGGTTGACTCCGTGAGTCCAGTGACGTAAACATTATGCTATCTGCTAGTCCCTGTTGCCTGATTTTTAATCAGTATGATTTCTTTAGAACTGTGTATCTTACAGTAAAGAATGTCATAGAAAACAAAGTACATATAAGAAAAGTAATGTATAGTTATCAAATGTATAAAATTTAAAATAACTAACTAAATAAATAAGAAAGCAAAGTACATATTTGCAGAATAACCATTGGAGTGAGTTTTGAATGTTCACAGCATAATGTTAAATGTCTAAAAAAAAAAAAACTACATTGAGATATTACTATTCATCTACCAGAATGGCTCAAATTTAAAACACCGACCACACTTAGTGTTGAAGAGGATGAAGAACAAGCAGAATGTTTTAGGGGTTTCGTTATTTTTTCTTTTCTTTTTTTTTTTTTTTTTGAGAGGTTTTTGCTATAGGGCATGTGCGCTCGCCAGAGAGACAGAGAGACAGAAAGCAAGAAATCACCCCCCCAGGGGGGATGGCCACACCGCAATTCATTCTCCTCCACTCTCCTCTCGGAATCTTGGGCATGCACGCACATGTACCTGGTGTGAGTTTAAGCCACCGGGTTCAGGACTCAAAATCCCAAAAGGAGAATGGAGAAGACATTGTGTTGTGGCCATCCTCCTGGGGGTGAGTTCTCTCTTTTTCTCTCTCTCTCTCTCTCTCTCTCTCTCTCTCTCTCTCTCTCTCTCTCCTTCCAGCAATCACACATACCCTATAGGAGAAAAAAAATTTTTTTCCAGGTTCATAATTTATTGTACAAATTGAGTATCACATAATGAACATTTATTAGCTTCTCCAGGCATGGGAACTTAGATGAGCTTTGGACTTTTCACTCCATTTATGTTGCTTTCACAGCTGGAGTTTTCTTAGATCTTAACTTGAAGTATAAGATCGTCAAAACAATGCCTTCATACACGGCCAGTACACAATTCATTCTACTTATGAGAGTATAAGAGTTGAAGTACTTTTTAATACCAGTGAACTGGAACTGGGCATCAGCTTCTGGACCTGTCATGATTTCAATCTTCTTGCAAAGCCACTAAATCCGCAGACGGTGTCCCGCAATGCAGGCAGCCACCTCTCGGCCCAGCTGGAAGAAGCAACCTCCCTCCACAAGCGTTCAATGGAACCCAACCAAAAACATTTTTTAATTAAAAAAATTTTTAAAAACATATCACAGGCCCAGCATGTGGCATGGTGGTTAAGGTACTGAATTCTCACATGGCCTACTTTGAAGTTCAAATCTTGGACCCAGCAGCTTAAAAATCACGCATGGCTTGAAAATCACGCCAGGCACATGTGCATGGATACCTTCAATCCTGAGAGTGGAGAAGGGATTGAGGCATGGCCTTTCCCCCCTCCCCTATTTCTCACTTTTCCTCCCTCTCTATCCCTCTCTGCCAAGCATATATGCCCTATAGCAAACAAACAAAAAACTCAAAAACAACCTAAATGTTCATCTTTTTTTTTCTTTTTTTGCAGAGGTTTTTGCTATAGGGTACATGTGCTCACCAGAAAGACAGAGAGAGACAGACAGATAGAAAGCGAGAAATCACCCCCCCAGGGGGGAC